ACTTGGACTCTTTCTACCATCTCTCCTTTCTCAGTTCACCTAATAGTTTCTTATCACCTCAACTCCACCCTACAAATATCTTTAATTCAATCTCTCCTCCTCTCTTGTTCTCTCAGCCCTTCCCTCCACCTCTCCTTCAGGCTGCGGGAGATATCCGATAAGACCTCTGCATGTTTTGTTTAGACTTTAGAATTTCCTGGACAGGAGCCACACTACATCAACACATTAAAGTAATAAATGTGCCAATGATGCAAATAATGCTTTTTTTTTTTTTTTTTTTTAACAATTTTGTTACTTTAACAGTCACATGAACTATAAATTTACCATCTGAATCCACAAATCCAGTGTGAGCTAAAATTATGGTCAATGGTATGAAAATCGTGTTTCATTTGATTTGGAAAGTTTCACTAAAATCAAAGCTAAAGGCAGTGAACAGAGGAGACAGCACACGTCGTTCCTGAACAATCACTCTCAAGGTGCCCTCAGAATGGCTCAGTAATTAACTGCTTCAGCGGTAAAAGCCCAAAGACAACATCAGACGACTATGACTGAACTGGGAATCTCCCTGGTGTGGCTGTGAGCAACCAAGTGAATGAAAAGTAGGGCAGTGTTTAGAAGAGCAAGTGTGCTCAGAGGATTTGTTTGAAACAAAACAAACAAACAAACAAACAAAAAAAACTCACACACGCAAACAAGGGCGAGCATCTGACCTCTCCTCTGCATCAACTTTCAGTATTTAACAATGCAAGGCGAATAAAAGCACTTACCTCCAGCTATACTGAGGAACAAGCCCAAACAGCAGAGAGTGACTAATGGGATGACAGAAAAGTGATCTCTTACCCTCTGTGCTGAGACCAGGGCTGGAGGTGAACTGGGCCACATCCACGATTTTGACAGCAAACTGCTGCCCCGTCTCTCTGTTGATGCATCTCCTCACCACACTGAAGGGACCCCTGAAGAACACATGGAGAAAAAAGGGAACACGTGGCTTGTTAACAAAAATCCATTAAGCGAACAAAAACTGGCACATGGTGGCAGCAGAAATAAGCTTCGTATTTCAAACACTGCTGCAATGAGCAGTGTCACTTTTCAGCGTGCACGGCAGGGCTGTCGCCACATCACATTTTCGATTCCCGACTATGTAACACACTTAAAACTTAGGTGGAAGTTGTGGTCCTGAGCTTGTGTTTGGCTACAAAGAAAAGGGGACTGTGGGCTGTCAACCTACATGCAGCCACTTGTGTACAGTCTTTGGAAAAGTAGCACCATTCTGCAGCCTGACAACCAGATATTATGCACGTCTCTAATGGAGATTTATTAAAAAGTTGAGTTTGTCAGAAAACAGAATAACAGTGGGGCTTGCAACAAAAAGCATGCATGAGAAGCAGAGAGAACGGCTGCAGTGGACAAACAGTTTCACTTTATCTACAAGGAACTTCCTTTACAAATACAGCTCCTCTTCGTCTGAGGCTGAGCTAAAGATGCCACATACATATGGCTCTCCAGAGCACAGTGATGCACCTGCAGGCTACCAACAAACATCCAGAGCTGGCACTCTGTGCTGAAGTAAACCTTGTTTTGGATTCCAGCAACTCTAGAGGGCAATGTCTGCTCTGTAGATACTAAATACTTACTTTATGCTGTGCCCAGGAGACAAAGGTAGCTTTTTTAAGTGAGTGCAGAAAACTGCAGTTGTTGTTACTGTGCAACTGAAAACACGGGATGTAAAACCAAAACCAGCAAAGTGAAGAGCTGAATACTCCAGAGAGGGGGGGCTTCAGAGTCATGTGATGAATCTCTGTGTTCATTACCGTGAGTGACCACATTATATACAAACAGTCATTTGATGCATGATTAATTTAAAACTTTTCATGCCAGCTGCATTAAGGGGAAAGAAGGCTCCATTAAGCCCATGCCTCTATTGTGTCACATCAATTTTCTGCTAGTGAACTGTTACAAAATTATGTGATGACAAGCTCAAAGACTTAACAAAGGATGGGTTTTTTTTGTTTTTAAAACACAAAAGAAATAAAATAGTGTTGAAATAGTAACCCCAGGGGAGTGTACTGAGTGCAGCAGAATATCAGTACATGCAATTAAGCCACAGCTGGACTATGGCTCTCATCGCTGAGGTCCACACCATGAATCATCCCTCCTGCAGAGCGTGTGCATCATTCGATTCAGTCACTGGGATAAACACAGGTCTACCACTGATGGTTCAGATTTAACAAGCCAGCAGGTCAGGGTTACAGTGCACTACAGCAGCAGGACACCGGCTAAATACAGCGCCTGGCTGCAGGTGCACTCACAGCGCCTGGGTAATAGGTTTGAAGTGACCCGGACACTGAAGAATAATGTGTATCGATGTGTGATTAAAAAGCGAACGTGTTGACAGCATAAGGTTTAGCAGCGGAGAGTGGAGGCAGATTCAAACACATGAAGCAATGAGTAAGAATGTATAAGAATAGACATGGTGGAGCATAATCCCATCCACGTTCTTTCTGTCCGATTACCCCTGAAAACTGTCCCCAGATGCACCAAGTTTAACAGGAGCACACAGTCGAGGTCCACTGACTGCTGTTAGTAAGGTGGTATTTAAAGGAGATGGAGGATGAGAAGTAATGAACTGGACTTTTAGACTGTGATGTAATCATATGTGTATGTACGTATAGCCACACAGAGAGTGAGAAGCAGCATGAATTATGCTGATCTTCCATCAGGTTTTGCAGCAAAATGATGGAGGTGAGTGTTCTGCGCACCTATGCAAATATATTTCTTCTCCTATCTGATGAGAATTGGGATTTAAAAAACAAAAAACTACCAACTGTGATTCCTTCTACATGCAAATTGTCCCCTTTTGTCTTCACTGTGGAACTAAATCAGAATAAAACATGTTTTACTCAAAACTTTTTTTCCCTCTCTCGTTTAGAAGAATTTCTGCAGCTGGTAAATAGTCTAAATCTGGCATTTCTCATTAAAAGCAAAAAATAAATAAACATACAAACATACGAACATCATCAAATAACTGTTGTTTTCCTTACAACAAATCTTTGTAGGTATATAGAGTGGGTTTTAAGTATCATTGGACCTCTCCTTCAAGGTCAGTAGATTGATATGAATCTCAAAGTGATAATACTATACAGAGCTATTTAAAACTATGTTACTTGATGCCATTGTTTATACTGACACCATATAGGTGTCATATATAGGGGAATATAGCGGATGATGTATGGGGATTCTAAATATTGCTTACTTTGGACCTTTGACCTCTTCTTCAAGGTCAAATAAGGTCAAACTTTCATGAAATGTCTCATCTTTCAAGCTACACTTAAAAGCATTTATGAATTGATACTGGTATATGGGGACTCTAAACATCACATTATAGTTTGCATCTAAATATCATGACAGATCTGACCTCACTTTTACATTTCAAATCTGTCTTTCTTTCAGGTTGACCTCACAATGTTTTCTATCGTTAAAGAAAGAAAATGAGCTGCCTAGTTAGAAATATACTGCAGTATAATATTAAATAATAAAATGAAGTTATTCATCCAGTTATTTACAGATCATACTTATTATCCATCACTTAAACCTTCAGAAGGTTTCTCTAATCCTGTACTTCTGTAATCTAAGTAGATATTTGACATGCATGAAAATTTACAAACTACTAAATGATTTCCTTGAAAGTGAATCCTGCCCAGAGAGTGAGCTGCCTTGATGGAGCTCTCAGATGTCTTCTTGTTTCAGTTGCATCTAAGGTTGCAGGATATCCCCTGTAATGTAGGAATAGGCCTGATTTTGTCATATTAAATAACTGAGATTGCAATACTGAGTATAATAACTATGATCAACAATGCTGTCATAATGAATCAGCCATACCGAACGCCATTTTTCTTAAAACCTGCTTGAATATTAATACCCAACTTTAGAATAGAAATTTTGAAAAATTGTCATCTTCCATCTGTTGCCTTGGTTACAATACCCCCAACTCAAGCTACTTTGAAAGCACACGTAAAGACGATCCACATATAAAAAAAAAACTATAAGTAAACAAAAAACAAAACATGGCTTGAGAGCCAGTCTGAAGTTGACTGGATAAAAATGACAGCTCACTGCTGAGCACCACCGCATGTTTTTGTGGCTTTTGATCTTTTCCACACTGTCCTGTGGGTGAACTGGGAAATGCAATAGTCAGCTGGGTTCATCAGAAGAGCAGCTTTTAACTAGCGACACTGCTACCCTCCAGTATGACTCTCACTACCTGCAGCAGCCTTCTGTGAATTACACATCCCACAGCAAATTGCACTCAGCACAGCCTCAGCAGTAATGTGAAAACTCCCATTTCACAGCTAAACAACACGCTGTCTCTGCAGCAGGCACCACCGGGGCGGCTGGCTAAGGTCTGAACGCAAGCGGTGCTGCTCCAGTTTTTCTGTCTGTGTGTATGTGTTTGTGTGTGTTCACACAAGTGGGTGAAGAAGAGTGTGAGTCTCTGTGCACAAACACAGACTGGCTGAACAGATGGTGATCAAGCTAAAGCAGCTTAGCGTCAGAAGGGTGAGGTAGGACGGCACGGCGCCCAAACATGCAGACACACACACACACACACACACACTCTTCCATTTCTGTGCATGCAAGCGGTGTAAACATAGATCAAACTGAGACTGAAATAAACACCATGAGCAGTGTTGCTGAATAAACCGCCGCTTTGACCTGAATGATTGTACAATGTTTATATGCTCGGTACACGCATGCAGCATGCTCACTCACACACACACGCACACGCACACACACACACACACACACACACACACGCAGGTTTAGTGAACAGAAACATTCCTCAGTTTCTTTTTCCCTTCAACATCCCATGATAGTCATTTATTTTATAGGGAGCTTCTAAATGCAATTAAGCAAGACACACGAGGTGCGAGGTGGTAAATTCCACATTCACTTGTTAGAATCCATGTGTTTGCCCATCACTATATTCACTTATCTGCTGATGAGTGATAGTTTTAATTAGAAAGATGCACCATTTGTGATTAGCCTGTTCGCCCTAAAGAAGCAAAGTGTCAGTCTAATTATTTAATATAAAAACTGTTCACTGCTTTCCCTAACTGTCAGCGTACAGGGTGTACTGAAAGAGAGGACAGAATGACACATAAGATGATGGCTTTCTTCCAGCTTTTTTCTAAAGCTTTTTGGACTGAAAGGAACTGACGGGCTCTGTGGGGAAATCTACCTTTCCAACTAAAAGCTAACAACAGCTCGCAAACAATGAATTCCTCCATTTCTGGAAGTTTGGCACACTGCATTTGATTTTCAACTTTGTTGGACCAGGTGCACCAGGTCCAAAAAAAAAAAAAAAAAAGACAATTCATTAGTAATGCAGCTGGGATCTCCTCGTCTGCTTTATCGTCCCCCCGCGCCACAGTCCAGTCACTTCACCTCTGCCCCACCCGCCTCTGCAAGCAGCGCCTCAAATGTCAAGACTCGCTCAAGGCTGCGCTCTACACGAACGAGAGGCCCCAGAGGAGCCGGGACAAAAACAAGCGAGAACACGGGAGGAGGAGGTGAGATGGGACGTCATGTGATTTTAAAAAAAAAAAGCTCACTTGAGGAAATATAAAAATAACATGAACTGGGAAAAACGTCCCAAGAGGACCAGGAAAACACAAGGAAGTGACCCTGATCTTCAGCCATCACGTTCTAATCACTTCATCTCTTTCATCTACTCCAGCTGTTTGTGTCATGCCCTGCTTTGCTCAAATATACACTTCATCAGAAGCAAGCAGAGCTCAAAAACAGTGCAGGAGCATCTTCATGTTTTATCACAACTAAGCTGCAGACAGTTTTGTCAAATGCAGTCCACTCTGAGAATTCATTTAATATCATCACTTCACAATTACAGCTGAAATTAGCTGTACATTCAACCATTAGTCAGCTGACAGAAAAT